CAGTGTTATTCATGAAGATATGTTATTTTTGAAGATTCTGCCAACTCATCCAATTGGAAAATAAATTTTTAAAGAAAATAATTTTTCTTCCTGGAAGATGATAAAATTGATAAGAAAAAGTGTAAGTTTTTGTTTGTATGGAGTTTGTGCACTCGCATGTAGGAATAGTGGCAACCAAAATAAGAGCTGTAGCACCAGATGTTACCTGGACCCATTATTTCATTCACATGGAAGACCTGGCAACCAAAGGTTATGTTATTTAAATTCGATGATAAAAGACATTGTTAAGATAGTCAACTTTATCAAAACAAATGTTTTGAACACCATAATATTTTCATTATTCTTTGACTGTTATGTGTAGATGAAATTAATGAAGATTTTACACCATTTCTTGCTGATGACCATATCATTAAATAGATTGTCATATCTTCCAGATATATTCTCAAAATTATGCAAAAATAAAGTAATTTTAAGAAGAAAATTATCTTGTGACTTTTGGTATTTAAAACAGAGAACTATTTCACCATTTTCAGCATTAGAGAGTACCCCCTCCTTTTTTTAAATGGTATTGATATTAGAGAATTATGAAGTGGCAGGTATAATGGATTTTCATGTTTTCATGATTCTTTTCATTGCAATATTGAAAATAAACTGTTATTGAATGAAAAATAACAGTTAATTAAACTCTCAAATGACACCATACTTAAAATGAAATTTCAAGAAGGTAGATTCATCTTTGGACCTAATTACCAATGAAAAGGAAATATAATGAACTGTACAATTGTGCTTTAAAAAAATGATAATTTAGTTAACATCTCCATATGTGGGAGAGAAAATATTTTCATCACTGACTAAAAACTAAAGACAAAATACCAAAATCGATGTTCATGTCATTCTTGAACTTAACAGCATCCATCTAATCATAGAACACCTGTGTAAGAATTGAGTCTCATCCATCTTATTAATGTGAGTATTAATGTAATATATTTAATTGTTAGTTAATTAATTAAATAAAGATTATCCTAACTAATAGCCTTGAATTAATAAAAGCAAACATAGATTTTCTTCTATCAACTTAATTACTTAATATGAAATGAAAGGTATTTTATTTATAAAATATAAGTATACTGGTATTAACATGCTAAAAATAATTACTTTGGGGGGGACAAGTGTGAGATGATCCACAGAACATTCTAATTTATTAAAGTAGTCCCCATTTGAGAAATGCTGTGATAAATGAAGAAAAAGATTTCCTCTCTGAAATGGGGACAGAGTAAGTAGTAGATCAGCTTGCTCTGTTTGGGAAGAGAGGTAAATAATATGCACCTTTATTTCGCATGTTTTTGGTTAAATAGAATATTTGTGATCTAAATGTGTGCAACACTGATAAAATTACCTAATACTATTATGTTTTACCTTTGAGAATATTCTGTAAGTAAAGTGCTGTATTGTATAAATAAGCGAATTAATTATCTGCTCTTTCAAATTGCAAAGTTAAAATCTTAAGTGTCTGTGTGTAATATATGTCTGTTAATTTCTGTTAATAAATGTGTTGTCTGTTAATAAATGTGGCATATTGTAATCTGCAATTTCTTTATCCTCTTTGGCCCCAACACTGAGAGAATGAAGATACCCTGTATGCTCGTGATCTTAGAGCACTGAATGTCGCTGTGTGCCCAAGAGCATTTTGCAGTTAAGCCTAATATGCAAAAATAATTTCTATAAAACCTGCTGCTTTTTATCTAAATATTTGAATTTTTGCAAATGTTTCTTAAATAATATTTCTTATAACATAAACAAAAATCCTAAGACTTAAAATTAAAATAAAAAATTCAGAATAAATTCTATTGAATATTAGTAATATTGATTGTGTTACTGAATTTAAATTATGTCTGTTGAATAATGAAGTAAAAACTTAAAAATTTAAATATAACTACTGCCATATTTACCTACAAATTTACATAAAAAAATTTTAAGCTGCTTCCTGTGTGTGAAATGTGTTTAAATTATGAATGTGTCATTGTAAGTATCGTGCATTTTACTTTCATAGAATAAAATAATAAATAATATTCATTGCAACAATGCTAACAGTCTAGAGTTTCTATTCATTAATTTTTTGCAGCATTCTTATATACTTTATTCATTTTCGTTTTAGCGTATCATATATTTCATATGGTGGGCTAGTGGAGGAAAACTGAGCATCACATATAGTGGGAATATCACATATAGTGGGAATATCATCATGTCAGTTCCCATATATTATTTGACTGCTTTCATTTCATTTTTATAACCAAGTTTGTTTCTTGAAAATGTGAAGAAGATATAAAAATAAAAGCCATAAATATAAAATAACTGAAATTTTTAGCTATTATTCTGTTTGCTGATTTAACCAAAAATACATTATGATTAAATCTCCTAATAAGTCTCACCATTAGGTAAAAATAAATTTATAATTAGTTTATAGTCCTAGATAGTTCAGTTGAGAACAACACTCATTTGCAGAAAGGAGATTCTGGGTTGAAGACCATATAGTATCTAAATTGTTGTAGCGCAGTCAAAGGGGGATGTGAGTGTGAAGGATGCAATGATCATGTCAAAACCATAAGCTTTACATCTCAACTGGAGAGTAAATTTTTTCTGCAAACTCTTATTTATGTCCAATCCAAATTTTCATGCACTGTAAGGCGATTCTCTTGCAAACGAATCTTTGGGGGCTATCCGTCTAGGAAATGATGCTGTCGTCGATAAGTTTTAGAGAAAACTGGTTTGTATCTGTTGGTCCGGGTCCCTTCGAATGAGACCCAAATTACGTCTTATTAAGGAACATTGAAGGAAAGGTTCAAAAATGCGATATAGGTAGAAAATAAATAAAAATAGAAATATGCTTTGTTAGCAATCTTTTGAGCCTTTAAACACGAGTTTCTGCTCAGTCAGAGATAATTAAAAGTTAATCCCTGTCTTTTGAAAACTGCTTTTTGTAGGGAAAAGAGGAAAAATACATTATGAAAAAGCAAGTTGTGGTGCAATCAAAAGAATATTTACTATTCATAAAATTCAAAATCCAGTTATTCTTGCTACAGTTCTTAGTTGGGGGGGGGAACAGTCTAAGCAAGTTGTAAGTCAGAGACCGAGGGAAAGAAAAGGTAGGGAGATGACTAGGCCACCTTTCAAGGCCAGGGATCTGACAATGTGGTCACTACAATTCTACAATTGGGGAGCAAAAGAAGAGTAGTATTGTACTTTTATATTATTTTTATGTTATCTACAGAATAAATAAAAATATTATGGATTACTAATTCAAATGAACATTCCAAGATTATAAAATTTAGAAAAACTGGAATATGTGAAATAAATGCAGTAGTCTTTAATTGGTTTTGTTCTGTAAGAGCAAACAGTATTCCTGAAGGAAGAGTATTATTTCAAGATAAGACAAAAGAAGTTTTGAGAAGTCTGGGACTAGAGAACTCCAAAGCATCAAATGGCTGGTTAGACAAATTTAAGCAAAGACATAATGTTACTTTTAAAATTATTTGTGGTAAAGAAAGTTCAATATATGCAGCATATAACAGACTGCATAGAAAAGCTAAATGAAATTTGTGAAGGGTATGAGGATAAAAGCATCTACAGTGCAGATGAGACTGGATTACTTTATTGAATTTTGCCTAATTAAACTCTCTGCTCCAAAGGAGAAAATTGCTATGGTGGTAAAATCTCCAAGGAACATCTCACTGTGCTACTTTGTTGTTACATGGATGAAAAGTTTGAGCAGCCACTTGTAATTGGAAAGGCCAAAAAACTAAGATGTTTCAAACACATCAATCCAATAATCAGAATAAAAAGTCATGAATGATTTTCAGAATGAGTGATCTTGATGACACAGTATTTAAACAATAGGAAGATTCTGCTATTTCTTGATAGTTCACCAGCCCATCTGCCAAATGTAAAACTAAAATCAGTAAAATTAAGTTTTTCTGTCATCTAATGCAACGTCAGTATTACAGCCTTTGGACCAAAGTATAATTAGAAACTTCAAGGTTCATCACAGAAAACTGTTTTTGTGGCATGTTCTTTGTCAAGTTGCTTGTGGAAACGGCAGTCAGCATAGAAAATGTGTCAATATATTGAATGCCATTCAATGAATAACAAAGGCTGTTAAATCCATATCACAAAATTGTGTTCATCCTTGAAAATCTAGTTTCATGCCCTCAATGAAAATGTTACTGATGAAGATGAATTTTTTGAACTTTTCAAAATCAGTGGTAATGCCCAAGTGCAAAAATATATCGAATTCTATGAAAACTTGAGTATTGAAGACACTAGAGATGGCATAAAATCTTCTATTTGAACTGTAGTTGTAACAAATGTGAGCTGTAACAAAAATAGATTGGAAAGCAGTGGCAGAGACAAAGAAGAGTCAGATGAAAAGTGTGACATAAAATCTATACATGTGCTTTAAAATATACCTCCCAGTGCTGCACCAGGACAGTGAAATACATCTTATTAGACAAGCGAATTACTGTGCTCAAACATCTACCAATTCATATCTACAGTCTACCATATTTTACAGACCTCGCTTCACGTATCATCTTCCTGTTCCCAGAAGTGAAAAATGCACTGAAGAGAACTCATTTTCAATCTGTGGAAGAGGTCAAGGCAAAAACGACAAACTTGCTGAAGTGTGTGGCATTTGAAGATCCTCAGCATTACTTTGAACAATGGAGAACATGTGCAGTGCTGTATAGATAGGCAAGAGGAGTATGTTATGTTGAAAAAAAAAAAAAAATTAACAGCTATTTGTAATAAGTTTTCAAAAAAGGTATATTTTTCTATCCATTTGCATTATTTAGTTATCTCATTACATAATTATGAAAAAAAAATTCAAAGTTTAGAATATTTTGAATGACAAAAATATACTGACAGAAATTTCTTAAAATAAATAATTTATAAATATTTGTACATGTAAATTAAAAGAAAAATTAACTATTCCCTTTCTGTTTTAGTCCTAGATGTTGATTATTCACCAACAGGAAAAGAATTTGTTTCAGGCAGTTATGATAAAAGTGTCAGAATATTTCCTGTAAATTCTGGTCGAAGCAGGTAATTAAAAAAAATTTTTTAAATGTATTCTCTGTACTGCATTTATTCTGATGTCTTTTTAATGTTATTTATTTCTTTGGGCTTTTTTTAAGACTTTAGTTGAGAGTAATTCTATTAAATGAAAAGCTGAGTATATGAAATATTAGCTTGAATACCATTATATTTTTTTTAGACATACGCATTTTCGTTATTGGTATAAGCTGCAAAATAGCTATGTAGATTGTTTTAAAAGCTTGCCTGAGAAAATATTGCTTAGAAATTTAGTTATATGTTCATAATTCTAGTTTAAGAAAAAAATAAGTTTCATACTATGACAATTTGGGTAATGTGATATCATTTCAACAGTATTTCTTAAACTGTAAGTCACAACCCAAAATAGGGTTGTGAAAATTTAATTCAGATGCATGAATTTAAAGAAATGTTAATTGCTGTCCCACCCATTATCTGTAACCAAATATATTACATTTTCTTAGCGGCAACCTTGTATTTGGTGTAGATTTAGTGAAGAACTCTATCGATTTTGAGGGCAAACGGGTACAAATCTCTTTTCATCAGGAGCAAAGAAATCTGTAAGACTGAAATCCAATGGTCGTATTTATATCCTATTAGTATTTATATGTAGTGGTCGTATATGACCATTGCATCCATTGCTTTTCTCTCAAGCATTTCTTGTTACATTTTACCAAATATACTACAGTTTCTCATATAATTTCACTGAAATTAATTACATGTATACAAAATTTGTAACATTATTAATGGCATAAAATATTGCAAATATAAACAATATACTTTATGTATCTTAATATATTTTCATTACTTGATGGCTGTTGATGATCAAGAACAATAAGGTTAAAAGCTTATTATTGGTCCTTGTAGCAATGAACATGCTATCTATTTGACATCTTTACCTCATAACTTTCTTATAATCCAAAGGCAATTCTGTGCTGCTTGGTAGAATATATATTGTGGCAGTGTTTCTCAACCCGATTTGTTTGAAGGATCGGTCAATAGTGTTTGTGGACCGGTGGTTTAGAAACATTGTACTCTGTGATCAAAAGTATCTGAACATCTCCAGGAAGTAATGGATTCTATTATAGATTGCATTATAAGTTCAGGCACGTATTAAAAGAGATATGCGCAAGTTCACGACAATTGTTAACTAGCTCCCCTCCCCCCCCCAAAAAAAAGCAAAGACAGCATGAACTAAATTATTTTGGGCATGTGGAAATCATCAGTTGTCATTGTTATGGAAAATATGTTTTTAGAGTTTCTGCAGTGTTACATATTCTTAGTTCTGCCATAAACGATGGCCGAACTTAAAAATGGAAATTCAGTGTGACTGTAGTTGTACAACTGCAACCTAGTTGACCACATCATCTATCAGGTAGATATCAGAGAGTGTTGAAAAGCATTTTGAGGCAAAAAGAGTGGTATCAGTAGAAAATTCTCATTCCAAATTCCAATTTCTCGTCGGGAACTCTAAGGGAGCTCATAGCTGAATAGCTACATGTAAACTGAACCTAAACACAACCAATGCCAGTGTTTCACTGTTTTAAAATTCAGTGACATCAGTGCCTTGAGTGACGACAATGTATGGTAACTCAATAGGTATTATTTAGTAATGTGTAAAATAAAATAATTGCATATTATTTTTAAGTAAGAAAATTTAGATAAAATTTGTGTGGCTGAAAAATATTTATTAATTATCTTTCCTAAGGAAAGCATTTCTATCAAAGAAACAATATTCTTAGCTCTGTTAGTCTCATTCTTTCATTAAGTAACAGAGATAAGAAATAATTTTTATTTTAATTTTGTATTTATTTGCCAAAAAATTTAAATTGAAAATACTGTAATCTTGTTCTTTTAGGGATGTTTATCATACTAAAAGAATGCAGAGGCTGACTTCTGTTCTGTGGACTCTGGATAACAAATATATCCTTACTGGTTCTGATGAAATGAACATTAGAATGTGGAAAGCTAAAGCCTCAGAAAAATTAGGCGCTGTAAGTAAATTTTATGTCTGTACAAATGTGCAGAGTTTAGCTATAGAAGTGCCTTAAAATAAAATGTTAAAAGTAAAATTGATGCTGCTATTGCAGTAGGTTATCTGTAGAAATATGCTCCCTTTAAAATTAGAGCGGCTTTTCTATAGAAAATAATGAAATATATTTTGTGGGAGGAAAGTAGCAGAATTTTTGTGAATATGAGCAAATGTCTTCAACTCAAGTGTCTCAGATAATATGTAGAAAAGTAAATAAGTTCTTAATAATAATCTGTGGCACGATTTAATTGAAATCTGATTTAATATTTTTCAACTTATATTAATTTGAGTAGGAAAAAAGAATCAAAGATTGAAATCAGTATTGATACTTGTTTGCATGTAATTATATTTTTCACATAATTTTTTCTTTTTTTTAATATTTTCCCATTTTCAAATTAGCTGTCCTATAGAGAGCGGATGGCACTTAATCATTCTGAGAAACTGAAAGAGAAGTTTGCACAGCATCCTCAAATTCAGAGAATAGCCAGGCACAGGCATGTTCCAAAGCACATTTACAATGCTGCTAAAGAACATCGAACCATTCGAGAATCCAAGAAAAGAAAGTAAGTAGTGGATTCAGTTTGATATTTTTTATTTAAAAATTAATGCTACATCTTGAATATTGTTTTATGAATAATAATGAATTTTATTTTTTAGATTAAAGTATACCTTTTGAATAAAATTGCTCCTAAATAATGTACACTTCTTAATTATGAAAGTTTAATTTACCGTAATTTCCGGAAGAAACGCCGCGGCGTTTACGTGTTTAAAACTTAAATTTTCAGCGGGTGCGGCATTTAGGTGCACTAAAAATAAAATACTTCCTATGATGGTCATTGTACATAGTTTGGATGGCCTTGTCATTGTGCATAGATTGGTGCTGTTCCCACACAAAAGACCACTCAGATGCTTTTTGCAAACATTATTTTGTTTATGTTCTTTCCCTTGAACGGACCTACATGACTTATTCACCCTAAACGAGATCTCAGAACAATAACATTCTTCCCCCTTTCAAATCAACATTCTCATCAGTTCAATAGTTCTCTCCTCTGCCATTCTGCATTCGATGAATCTTCCAGGACCCATCTCTTTTCCCCCCTGCCTTTTCTGCAATTTTTTTCAAAGGCGGACACGACTCCACCTGCCTCGCAATAACGAACTCTGACGTATTTCTCCTTCAGCATGAATGGATTTTCTTGGCATTCTTCCAAATACAGATCCCATCAGTTAGGGTACAAGTACTTGTTGGATAATTTTTAATTAGGGAGCGGAAAATTTTTGATTGAAATGTCTCTAAACGGCACAGAAGCTATACATTTCTTACCTTTAATTTATTTTGAGTTATGGTTTCATTTCATGCCTTTTTCTTAACTGGTATGTCATAATCAGGACTTAGGTTGAGTTTTTGCATCTATACGGCCCACGGCGGTGTCACGCGCAATTTAATCTATTGCGGCGTTTCTGTGTAATTTTAATTTTTTTCCCGCCATTTTTCTCGAGTGCGGTGTTTAAGCTGATGCGGCCTTTCTTCCGGAAATTACGGTAATTAGAAATTTTCTAAAAATTTGATATTTAAGTTATTTTGCACAGATTTTATAGAACCCAAAGTTAAATAAGTCTACATTGTTTACAGTGTTAAGATTTTATAAATGTGTAAGAAAATAAAGCCCTTTACTTGAAGCCAAAGAAAACAAAAATTAACAGTAAAAAAAGCAAGTTAAAGTAAGGTTGTGATATTATGCAGACATTTTCTGGAAATGTTTGTTTAGAAGGCTATTGTAATGGCTCCCAACACATATAATAACATTAGCACTAAAATAATTTTCTGGATGAGACTGACATTTTGATTGGAAATGCTGCAGAGAATCACTAAATGTTATCTTAGGCAACAGGGTATCATAAGCAGTGGCTGGCCAAGTAGTAACATAATTTGTAAGGGACAGAACTTCTTCAAGGATCTTCAGATTTATACTAATGTTACGGCACCACTCTTATGTCATTCCCTAGATTAAAGTTGTGATGGCTGCTTAAAGTTGCATTGCTTTTCCTTTTTGGTTGCTGCTGGTAAATTTTCTTCAGATATCTTCAGAGAATTGAAGGGTTGAATGTTTGACTTTGCAATGATCATATTGAACCACTGTGGAAATAACTGATTACTGATGGAATATCACATGGAATTCAAAATATTTATGCAAGAAATCCAGACTTTTCGTTGATGTCCCATTGATATCCAGAATGTTTTCAGGATGGAGAATAACTCTGAAAGAATTCTGAATTTTCTGTATACCTGTTTTGACTTCCGTTTGATATCCCAGGAGCTAGAAGTTTTCAAAGTAGCTCAGTCTGGCTTTAATAGGCTTTCTATTAATCCCCTGAATAGTTCTTATGAGGATATCAGCACATACATTGCTACTACTAGAATCATGGTTTTCTTTAAGGAATTGACATAGATTTAGTTTTGTAAATTATCATGACTGAACCTTGACGCGTGGGGGCACCACAAAAGATGATGAACATGTCTTGCGACCACACACAGTAAATTGCATAATTAAGAGGGGAAGATCAATCAATTTCTCTCATATTGGAAGACAGAAAATTCAAAAAACTATTATAATTAATATATTTTTATATATTAAAATACATATATTAAAAAACTAGGTTCGTATATATTGCTTATCTATTAAAATTTATTTTATTATATAATATATATATAAAAACACTATTTTGTTATCGGATATATTAAATTTTATATATCTTACAAAAACTATTTTCAGTAGAGTATTTTGTATGCATTTAATTTATATTTCTTATCATTCTTTTTAATCTGTAGAAAGGAACTTTTGTCTTCTTGCTATATGTGAAATCACTTTTAAAGTTGTGATGAAAAATAATTCTTATATGTATCATATGAAGTCTTAAAAACTGCTTTATGCTATCTTTTAAAAGTTTTATGTCAAATTATTAAATTGTTGAACTTTTACCTGAATATCTGGAAACTTATATGGTTACTTTTTTCTCACAGGGAGGCTAATCGTAGAGCACATGGCAAACCTGGTACTGTACCTTATGTGAGTGAACGTGTTAAACATATAGTAAAAGAAGATGAATAATTGGAAATGTGTAAATAAAGCTTATTTTCATTTTGCCTTGTTATTAATGAAGTTCGAAGAATATATTTTACATTTACATAAATAATATTTGTTTTTCTCTATATTTCTTTTATTAGAAAGTCTTCAGAGTTTTATTTTAATGTTTTTTTTACTATTTTAATGTTTTTTTTACTTAGAAAAAAATTTAGTCTTTATAAAAGCCATTTGTTTAATCATGATTAACATTTTGTATTTAAAACTCAATATTCAGTAAAATACTTATTAATGCACTAGAATTCCAAAAAAATCAACATTCCTTATTATCTGAAATGAACTTTTGTGGATTTAGATAGAAACACAGAGTTGTTCTCATCCGGGTTTTATAGTTTTCTTTGTAAATATGTTATTTCCTTAATGCAATTGTGTTTCTTAGAGTTATTAGTATGAAATAAGACATTTCTCAAATCCATCAGAAGTTATTCCACTGGAAGTAAAAGTGTATTGATTGATGTTTTTGACTATGCCTGTTTGTTTTGGGGAACGTAGTACTTTGAATCACTGCATCTTTATAAAATCAGTCTCATCTACGTAGAAGTTTTTCTTGTATTATAAAGATGTTGAGTGCCTCCTTATTAAGTAAGAACTGAAGATATTTTTCCTAGTTCCTTCCTTTATACATACATACATACATGTGTTTTTTAACTCTGTGAGAAAATACAGAGATATTCCAAAAATAATTAAATGTTCTTTTATATACACTCAGTTCTAATTCTTTTAATTATTTCACTTTCTTCAGTTCTTAAAATTGGCCTATCAGTTCTCACATTTTCTCATTGCATTTGATGAAAATCATTTGGAAGTGCAGACCCGTGTTGTATTTTGTCTCTTTATTCATCTTGGTATTTGCTTCCTTTAAAAAATGTCAAAAATTCTGAGAGATGTGCAAAACACTGTACAAATAATGATACTAAAAGTGTCAGTAAATTTCTTAGAATGATGCCAAATGCTCTTTATATTTATTTTGGAGTAAAACTAATGTGAAATATGAGCAAATGAAGTATCACAGTTACTTGAATACTTCTCCCTTTTGCATATATTTCCGTAGTTTTTTCAACAATTGATTTAGAAATTCCTAAACAACATAAAAGGTATGCATAAATATATTGTGTAAGTGATGTATACAAGGTGTCTCAAAAATGAAGTGACAAACTTTTAGTATAATGATAATTTTAGGTGCAGTAATTCACATTATATTGCATAGCAACCCATGACCAGAAATGCCAGGCTAAGTGGTAGCAGAAGTCGAAGATTGGAAAGGAGACAAGAGGGTAATTAATTTGGAACATGTATTGATATCATGAGTACAAATAGTGTACCAGATGAATACAGCTCTTATGTTACAACAGACACTAAGCATACCTGACACTGACAGAATATTAAATGCTGGACGCAATTGAACACACACCCAGAGGTTTTTTTTTTTTTTTTTTTTTTTTTTTTAATTCCAGCAGCAGTGCAGATGAGGCTAGCCACAAGATCCGTTTCAGACTCCGTAGGATCATGATACTCAGGAACTCTGAGAGCACCCCATTGCAAGAAATCAAAATTCAATAAATCAGGTGAGTGTGGGGGACTAGGGAACTGGTTGGTCCACCATGCCAAATCCATCGATTTGGGAATGATATGTTCATATGCTTACAAACAGCCAGTCCAAAATGAGCAGGTTCCCCATCATGTTGGAACAACATGTTCCACCTTATGTTTGCTACATTTTCTGAAATATAGTCAAATAAACCAGGAACAAACTGCTCCAGAAAGATCCAGTAATTTTTGGTGGTTCTGTATGATTGTAATTGTTATAGCCTGACTAAGCGCTAAAAAAAAACCTGCTCAAACATTTACTGCAAAGTGATGTGCCGCATTGTGCTGCACACCATGAGGGTTCTCTTGAGCCCACAAATGTGCATTGTGCTGATTGAATGTGCTATCCCTATTAAATATGGCCTCATTAGTGAACAACACATAAGCTGGAAAATTCACATCATTAACACTTTGTTTCAGACACCGTGCGAAATGCACACATGCAGGATGATCATCGGAAAATAATAATTGTACCCTTTGGAGATGAAAGGCAGGTAAGCACTTGCCATTCCAAATACTCAATACCCTGCAACGAGACACTCTTAAGGGTAGGCAATGGCATGTGTGCTGGTACTGACATTAGTTTCCATGGCATCCATAAAACACATTTTCTTCCATAATGACTAAATGCATTGATCATGGTATGCTCTCGCTAGTCCTGCTGCTTCTTAGCCTGCCCTCACTTCTTGCTGCTTCTTAATGACAAGTACTTGCACAGATGCAAACACACTGCAGTGTAGTTGATGTCTCTGGGAAGCGTTCTTGATAAATTTGTTCATCAGCTTATTTATTGCTGTCAGCTATTCCAGGCACTAAATGTGTGTCTGCAAGCTCACCATTCGTGTGCTTGTTCAAATGAGGAAATCCTCACTTTTCCCTCTAGGAATCTCATGCAGACCACCACTTAGCGGTGTACAGTGACATTCATGGGTTGCTATGCAATTCTTTGGTAACTGGCAATATAAAGATATTGGCACTTTTGTAGGTCTAAGTTTGAATCTAAAAATTTAGGATTATTAGATGAAAATATGTAATGGGCTCTTAATTTGGAGACATTAATATGGAAAAAATTTGTTGTAAAAATTAATGTGTTAAGTTTCTGCCTCCAAATGTCATAAAGCCTTATCAAACCAGTGCGTTTTCCAGAATATAAAGATGAACTGTGTGAATTTTGATGGATGTGACGTGACTTTAAAAAACAATGTCCATCAAAAGAAAGTATTATTTACTCTGTCTCTTGTCCGGAAAAGTCCAACAAACATTAATTTGAATTTCTGCAAGTGTAAATTACTCATGTTCATCGATGATGAATCGACTGATGAATATTTTCTTGGTTTTGAACAAGGTTTGACTCCATTGTCAGACATCTTGGAATTATTTACATATTTGGAGAAGATTAATGTTAGTATAGAGGTGGAGGCTTGGATACATGTAGACAATATTGTTTGTCTCTCTCTCAAGATGGTGAAAAAGTAACTGGATATGTATTGGAAAATAGGGAAGATGAGGAGTAAAGGGAAGATGATGAAAACGATAAACAGAGCAAGACAATATGGAAAAAGGCTGGCAAAAAAATTGTGAATTTCATGAGTTTTGCTAAGAAATATTCATTGCTCTGTGCACATGATGTTATGAAGTTGCATTGTACACACAGCGAATTTTGTAAAAGTATGGTGATAGTCTTGTAAACAGTCAGATATTCAAAGGTTCAACCTTTTAGCTAGCGTGTACCATCTAAACAAAAATTGAAAAGCTTTAATACTGCGACTACATTTTATAATGCTTATTTTTCAATAGAAATATTAAATTTGGGGTGCACCATAAATGTTGCGACAAACTTCTGAGGGAATTAGGCCATATCATAATGATTAAGAATTGCATAGGAACCCATGCCCAAAAACGTCATTGTGCACTGCCAGGGCAGCTGTACAGCAGAGTGATAGTGGAAAGTGAGGATTGCCTCATTCGAGCGGCAGGCATAATACGAAGAGCTTGGAACGCTATATGAATGGGGAGCTTGCAGATATGCACTTAGTGTATGGAATAGCTGAGAATAATGGTAATGGGTGAGCTGCTGCACGCATTTATCCAGAAAGCTTCCCGACAGACATTAACCACACCACAGTATGTTTGCATGTGTGCATTAAAATTTGTGCAACTACGGGTCACTAAGGAGTGGCAGGATAAGTGAGGGCAGACCGCAGTCGACACGCTCGCTCGTTAGGTAAGAAAGTGTGTTGGATATCGTGAAGAGTAATCCAAAACCAACAATGTCATGCTTCTCAATTAAGAATATCTTATATCATGTCCAGCTTGTCTTGAACGTCGATTCCTTCCGCACCTTTCATCTGACTGTCATAGGGGAGTCACTGTCATTTCTGCCCTATGATCATCGTGAACAAGTGCATTTCTCACAGTGGTTTCTGCAAGAAAATGCCCGTGATGTTAATTTCCCAGCTTATGTGTTGTTCACGAATGAGGCCACATTCAATAGGGATGGCGTATTCAATCAGCATTTGTGCACTCAAATAAACCCCCTCACGGTGCGGTACAAGAGCGCTTCAAAGTTAATGTGTTGGCAGGTTTGATTGCCGACTTCTTAGTCAGGCCATACCTCTTACTATCAAGCTTGAATGTCATGAATTATCTGATATTTCTGGAGTAGATACTTCCTGACTTGCTTAACAATGTTCCACTAAATGTGAAGTGCAACATGATGGGGCACTTGCTAATTTTTGACTGGATGTTCATAGCCATTTGAACACATCATTCGTGCATCGATGGACTGGTCATGTTGGACAGGTTCTCTGGCCTCCCACGCTCTCCAGAATTATTGAGCCTTGATTTTTTTTTTGTGGAAAGAGCCATCAAAAGTTTTGTGTATCACAATCCTATTGTGTATGAGATGGATATCGTGGCAAGACTCGCCTGCACAACTGCTACAGTCAGAGACTTCCGGTGTGTTTAAACATGTCCGGCAATCAATGGTCTGTCGGTGTCAGGCATGTTTGTCACCTGATGGTGCAAATTTCGAGCACCTGTTGTAGCATTCAAGCTGTGGTACATCATTTGTATTCATGTCCAATAAATGTTTCAAATTAATCACTCTTTTTTTTTTTTTTTTTTCAATCTTCTACCTCTGCTACCACTTACCCCTGACATTTCCGGGCTATGGGTTCGTATGCAATTCTTAATCCTTACGATGTACCCTACTTTCTCCAGAAATTTGTTGCAACATTTACAAAACACCCTGTATATATATATAGTGGTGGCCAAAATTGTGGACACTTTTGGAAATTTTTATGTTTTTAAACTTTGTACGCTTATAGAAAATGTTACGTTTCGCAAAATGCAAACTTGTATATATCATTTTAAAGAGAATTTATTACTGAATTGAATACAAAACACAAAATTCAATTATTT